GACCAATGCCTCTTCAGTTCCTTCTTACCACTGCATGGCCTGAATCAGAATCTCCAGTGTATGGAGCCTTTCCTTCTGCCTTCTTTGTCTTCAAATCCCTAAATATTTCAAAGTTTTATACCATTATTTTATACCGTTATATAGAACTGCGTGGCCTCCCTGGTATGGGACTTACTTTATTCCAGGAATGTCAGCCTTTAAGAAATGTGTCTCCTGTCACTGGTGAGCGACGACCACCACCACTGTCTTAGAGAAGCTCATATCTCTGCTGTTTTCCCACCAGACTTAGCAGGCATGAGAACTCCAGTTGAGGAAGCACCTCATGGAGAAAACAATGAGGCCACAGTCAGACCAAGGCCAGGGACACCCCCAGCCAGAATCATCAAACGGCTTGCCTCTTCGCAAGAGATCTGATGCAGAATCAGAAAGCAGAAAACTCAGGGACCCTTCACCAGGGTTCCAAGCATAAGAGAAGATTCCCCGCTAAGTCCACTCCAAAGAGACTGGATCCCTCCTTCACTCTGTCCAGGTCAGGTGAGACTTCACGCCCACCTTCTGAGAATGCAGACTGTCTTAAACCTTTTATCAGGGTCATGATAAAAAGGTGCTCAGGAGCAAGGATCCTCTGATACCAGACTCCACACCAGGAATGGTGCCATCTATGGTAACATCCAGGTCAAAGGACTGAGATTCCTTGTACTGACAAAAAGCATCTGATAAGAACTTCATTCACTGGCCACGATCCCTTATATATTGGCCTTCTGAGGAGGAAATTTTAGTTTTCCTAGATCCACAGTCTCCCTTGTTGATGGAACTGATCTTTGGGAGGGAGATTTTAACCCTGCCCGGAGACATGGGTTCTGGGAGAAGAAGTCCATCCACTATCCCCACCTACCAGCTGCAGCGTTCCGTGAATGGTACTGATGGCACCACCGATTGAGCTGGAGCCAATCTTTTCAGCATCAGTAGAATCAAATGCAGGAGGAACCATCATCACTTCCACCAAGGGAGATTAGTTCAGATGGGAGATCAAGACCTTCCTGGCACCACCCTCGTCCACCTTGGGACACCTTCCTCATGATCAGTGGGACCCATACACATGACCACCAGGGTCTGTGTGATCTAATAGGGAGTTATACCACTCTTTCCTTCCAAAAGAAAAAACTAGAACTTGCTACTGAGCTCGTAGAAGATAAGTATGAGCTGGATACAGTGGTTTCACCAGTACCAACAGGGGTATCCTCCTCATCTCCTGATGAGGCAATCACTCCAGCCTTGCTGACTCCTCCAGATGACCATAAGCAATTGCAGGAGCTGCTATTAAAGATGGCAGAAGAGCTCCGAATCTCCTTAGAGGAGGTCCAGGACACACAACATAAGCTCCTGGACATGGTGAAACCCATGGGTTCCCGCTGAATAGCACTCCCAGTGAACAAAATCACACTCGAACCATCAAGGGCTGTATGGCATACACCAACAACATACGCCCCTATTCCCAAGAGGGCAGAGAAGCATTACTTTGTCCCGGCAAAGGGAGCAGAGTTTCTATTTATCCACCTTCCACCTAACCCTTCAGTTGTTCAAGCACCACAGAAAAATCAAGATACCAACACCCAAAAGCTACCCCCACAGATAAGGAGGCCAAGTGTCTTGATCTGCTGGGGAGGAAGGTGTTTAAATCTATTAGCCTCCAGTTTAGAATATTAAGCACTGTAGGCTAAGTGTGATTTTCTAAATTATTCTAAGTTCCTAGACTTTAAAAACAAATTACACCAGCAGGACAGATCTCAAAATCTTCATGAGATCAATGGCTATTGCCATTGTGATGTGTAGGGAATCAAGGCTTCACTCTTCAGGATTACCCAGCAAAGTCCAGAACATTATTCAGGATTTGCTCTTCTATAAAGCCAATCTTTTTTTACAAAAAGATGGATGAACCTTTGCACACACTAAAAGAGTCTAGGGCAACCCTCTACTCCCTGGGTATGTAGATACCAGCCCTGAAGAGGAAATTTCATAAGCAACCATATAAACCAAGGCCTGTACTGCAACCATTCTACCATCAGAATTCTTGTGAACCACTCCATAAGTTATTGAAGGTGCAAAGGTCATCATATCCTGCACCTTCCATTTCCACGGGATCGAACTAATCTCCCCTGGCCAAAAGATATTTTGGACAGGACGCTTGAGAGTTGCAAATCGGGAGTGTTGCCATCTGTAGCTGATCCCCAGGTCTCTTTTGGTGATCACCTAGCATTTTCCCCCCCACAACTGGAGGGTGTTAATGTCAGACAAGTAAGTGCCAGATATCATCTATTCTGGCTAGACCACTGAGTTTCTCTCTCCCCAACCCCTCCAAAGCCCCTTATCACATTCCTCTTCAGGGACCACTCTCATTAGGAGGTACCAGGAGGCAGAGTCTCTTCTCCAAGGGAGCAATATAGCAGATACCTCTTCAGCATCAGGGAAAAGAGTTCTATTCAAAATATTTTCTAGTGCCCGCAAAAGACCGGAGGGTGTAGACCTATTCTTGATCTGCAATGTTTTTATTCACAAACAAAAATTCCACAAGGTTACATTGGTTTCAGTAATACTATCCCTGGAAAAGGACATGTTCACAGCTCTTGATATGAAAGATATATATTTTCACATGGACATTTACCATTCCCACAAAAGATTCCAGAGTTTTGTTGCAGGTTCCAACCACTATCATTACAGGGTACTTCCATCCAGTCTACCAGTAGCACCCAAGGTCTTCACGGAAGTGTTTTCAGTGGTAGCAGCACAACTCAGATGGGGCAGTTCCACCATATTTCCATATGTAGACAACTGGCTTCTCACAGGCAGAACATGCCTATAAGTCCTGACATCAACCTCATCCCTGCTCTGGAAATCAGTATGAACATAGAAAAAGTCTACCCTGACTGATGCAGATTATAGAATTTATAAATCTATCCATACGAAGACAAGGGCTTGTCTCCCTATGGACAGATTTCACACCATGAGCAACTTGATAGATCCCATTACGCTCAACCCTTGAACATTAGTTCAGATTTGCCTATTCTCCTAATGCACATAGCATCATGTATGTGTGTAACGCCATTCACCAGACTCCACTTCTGTTGTCTACAAGCTTGGTTTTGGATAGTAAATATGTCAAGTAAACATGACATGAACACCATAGTAACTGTTTCAGTCAAGGTGAGGGTCTTTGACTTGGTGGAAAGATTCTGGGCAAATGTGTGTGGGTACTCCTTTTCTATCATCCACACCTGATAGGACAATATTTACAGATACCTCCTTGTTAGGCTGTAGGGCTAACATGGATGGTCACACAGCTTAGGCACCAAGATGTCCTGGAAAACCAGGAAGCACATAAAACTTCTGGAATTCAGAATTGTCCAAGAAGCCTGCAAAGCATTCCTACATTCACCCAATCTCATCATATCCTCAATGTCAGACAATATAATAACTGTATTTAACATAAACAAACAGGGAGGGGTGAGATCCACTCCCCTGTGTGTAGAAGTGATCAAATTACAGAACTGGTGTATCAGAAACCATGTCACCCTATTGACAGGGCATCTTCCAGCAACCCAGAATTCACTGGCAGACAGCCTCAGCAGGCATTTTGCTGTTGATCATTCATGCAAGTTACACAATGTAATTGTGAACAGTATCTTCACCTAGTAAGGAGCCCCTCACCTGAGACCTGTTCATATCCCAAGTGAACAGAAAGTGAAATATATACTGCTCCAAGGGAGCTCAAGACCATTATTCCAGAGGTGATTCTATCCTATTTCTTCAGACAGACCACTTCAACTATGTCTTTCATCCTTATCTCACTGCTACCTCGGTTTTGGGCATGAATCATCGTCATCACACTCAAATGGCTCAGACAGTTCTGGTTCCTGAGTCTCCTACAAATGTCAACCCATCCAACCATCATCATTCAAACCTTCCCAGATCTCTTGACTCAAGAGAATGGCAGGGTCAGACATCCAAGCCCAAGTGCCCTTCACCTCACAGATTGGTATTTGGATGGGCATCAGACTTATAATGTTACTGATCCAAAGCTGTGGAAGTTGTTCTTAGTAAAAAATGAAATTAATGGGCAGCAGGTTTAAAACAAATAAAAGGAAGCTCTTCTTCACTCAGCGCACAGTCAACCTGTGGAACTCCTTGCCTGAAGAGGTTGTAAAGGCTAGGACTATAACAGGGTTTAAAAGAGAACTGGATAAATTCATGGAGGTTAAGTCCATTAATGGCTATTAGCCAGGATGGGTAAGGAATGGTGTCCCTAGCCTCTGTTTGTCAGAGGGTGGAGATGGATGCAGGAGAGAGATCACTTGATCATTAGCTGTTAGGTTCCCTCCCTCTGGGGCACCTGGCACTGGCCACTGTTGGTAGACAGGATACTGGGCTGGATGGACCTTTGGTCTGACCAGTATGGCCGTTCTTATGTTCTTAATAGCAGAAAGGATTCCAACAGAAAATGTTATCTATCTGGGCATAGCAGTATTACGTGTCTCCAAAGACAGCAGGAGTTCCTGTCATTCTGGATTACCACCCTATCCTTAAGATGACAAGTCTTAGCTTACTATGGGTTTACCTGGCAGCAATCAACTCCTGTGATCCACCAACAGACAATTACTCTCACTTTACTCACCCAGCCACATCTAGGTTCTTAAAATGTTTACTTAGAATGTTTTCATTGGTAATGAAGCCAACCCCTCCCTAGGAGCTTAATTTAGTACTTACAGCACTCAATTTCCCACACATTGATGTGCTACATGTTTGATGTTTCACCTGTCAATAAATGCCCCTTCCTTGTTGACTCATTGCCAACACCTCAGCCAGGCAGGTGGGTGAAGTTGGAGCCCTAATGGCAAACCCACCATACACAATATTCCATAAAGACAATGTCTCGCTATGACTACACCTGAAATCCACTCCTAAGGTAATTGTGGTGTTTCATAAAAATCAGACTATTCACTTACCTCTGTTATCCCTGAAGTCTCATGCTTCCAGTGAAGAGAAGAGACTTCATTCCCTCAGTGTAAGGTGAGCATTGGCATTTTACCTGCAGAGAACAAAACAAATCAGAAAGTAACCTAGACTGTGTATTGCCATAGCTAAACAAGTTATAGGACAGATCTCTAAATGGATCTCACATTCTATCCTAGAATCAGTTGGTACATCTCCCTTTCCCCAAGGGGTATGGGCTCACTCTACAAGATTGCAAGCAACCTCAGTAGCATCACTTCAAATGGTACCTGGGCTTGATATTTGCAAGGCAGCAACTGGAGAGATGGTTGATCTGCACTGCCCTTTATACCCTTGGCACAGAGCATGAAGAGAACAAGGGCATGGGCGTGGACCAACAGACACTATTTACAAGAAGTCTCCAGTCTCAGGCGCATAAAGCACATGCATGCCCCATAGTGGAATACAGATAGGAACACACATCGTGAAGAACTGCATTTACAAAGGGTACATAACTTCTCTTTCTTGACAGTACTATGGAGCATCAGAAGTCATAGGTTAAGTTTGGTGGGCAGGGGTGACTTGCATGGAGAAGGGATAACTGAAGAAGGAAAATGTGGTAAGGGTGAAGTGGTTGCCTCTTTTAACTGTTCTCTTCCAGATTTTCACACTTTTGAGGGGTTTCTTAAGGTAGAAGGCTTACTCTGTTGAAAATGATAGTATTTTCTGGGCTCAAGCAGACTTCACTGCTACACACTTTCAACCTTAATTGTTTCCTAATTACAGGTTTCAGAGTAGCAGCCGTGTTAGTCTGTATCTGCAAAAAGAACAGGAGTACTTGTGGCACCTTAGAGACTAACAAATTTATTAGAGTATAAGCTTTTGTGGACTACAGCCCACTTCATCGGATGCATAGAATGGAACATATAGTAAGAAGATATATATATATATATACATACAGATAAGTTGTAAATTGCCATACAAACTGTGAAAGGCTAATTAGTTAAGATGAGCTATTATCAGCAGGATTGTTTCCTTAATTGTTTCCTAGTGTTGTTTTGGGATTACTGATCATATCTCACTAGTGCCTGTAGAAAGTTTTCAGATATGAAACTCACAAGAGTCTGAGCTGTATTATATATAGTATGTATACTGTAGTATATTATAGTATGTATATATGGCTTCACTGGCCAGTACACACAGTTCTTCATCTCCACCAAGAGCAAGACAAGAAGTAAATGACTTAGTTTGCAGCAAGGGAGATTTAGGTTAGCAATTATAAAAAAAACCAAACAACTCTGTGTGTGTGTGTGTATATATATATATATATATATATATATATTAGTTAAGCACTGGAACACATTACTTAGGGAGGTTGTGGAATCCCTGTTATTGGAGGTTTTTAAGAAGAAGTTAGACAAACCACTGTTAAGGATGGTCTAATTATACTTAATTCTGCTTTAGCACATTGGGATGCCCTAGATAACCATTTGAGGTCCTTATCAGCCCTACGTTTCCATGAATCTAGAATTCTATGATTATTTTGTCAATGGAGTCACAGGATTAATAGAGCTTTTTCTGACTAAATATTTCTGTTCCTCCCAAAGACCACAAGAAATAAAAAAAAATAAGGAAAGGGTAAGTAAGCAAATGCTGCTGCATTTCTGTAAATCTCAAGGGCTCATCCATTTTATGACCATGTGAATAATAAGGGCCAGATCCTGTCACCATTATTCATGCTGAATATTTAATTACTCTGCACGTAACCCCACTGAACTACCCATTATGAAGAAGGATAGCAAAATCAAGTCCTTAGGAGCAAATTCAAGCACAGGCTGTCAGAACACGTGGAGCAGAACCCTCCACTTTTCTTTGCTGAGGCCCCAATATTTCCACCCTTACTCATTTTGAATAGCACTTTATGCTGTGGGTTTCCCACAGATGCTACTCAATATACAGATGACGGAATCTGTCAGAGTGTCTTTTTTTAAGTAAAAATATTATGATTATTTATTTAAATATGTAAAGGTAATTTGTACCTATAGCATTCCCATTTCCATTAGAAAAGGTGTAAGCACAATTTTAAAATCAAGCTGGAGGGTACTGCTGAAATATCTGTTGTTTTTTTCTGAGCTGTCTTTGCTTAAGCAACAGACAGGGCATATGTCAAATAATAAAAACAAATCAATCTACATTTTATTTGTATTATAAACAAACAGGAAGCTCAGTGTTTCAGCCACAAACTGCCTTATTTTATAACATTGAAAACGTTTCCAAAATATAGGAGTCTGGAGCAAATGCTGCTCTTGTGTATATCAACATAAATCAAGACTAACTCAGCTGACTTCATTGAAATTATGCAGATATACTTGAGAGCAGAACTTGCTCCTTAAACCATATTCAAGTATCTGCAAGAGCAATATAATTACAATTAGGAAAGGAGGAAGGGAATCATTTAGATCAAACAGTAGTTGTCCTGCTCCATCCCTCACCTACATTTCTATATCTTTTCTTTCCAATCTGAGTCAGTTTTGTCGTGAATACAGTATTTAACCTTTATCACACAGCATCTGCCAAGTGTATCTTTCACACCCTCCGAATACCTGAAAAGCACATTCATACAACTAGGCATATATCTATATGAAATTACATTAATCATTTGCATACACAAAGAAAGCGGGGGAAACCCAGGAGTGTGTCAGACTCTGGATCTGAGTGTGCTGCCAGATCAGTAGGCTGGCACCAGAATGGAAGTCTATCAGCATGGAAACAGGTGTTGCAGTCTTGCTGCTACAGTACCAGAGGGCATCATTATTAAAAACAGTGGCAACAAAGGAGCTATTGTTAGGAATATAGAATAAAAGGCTTGCACACTAGGGTTAACATGCGAGGAAGTAAGCAAAATAATTGTGGAGGATTTGTCATATGCTACAGATTTTCCTTCATTAGTATGAAAATAAAAACCTAGCCTGAGTCCGGGTAACAGCAGGCATATCAGACAGTGAGAATGTGATTCAAACAAAGAATCGTATTTTCTCTTTTGTAAGGATCTAAACAGCAAGTCAGATAAAAGTGAAGTTTTTGGCTCATGTTTTAGTTATAGCAGGTTGAGCAGTTTGGTTCAGATGCATATTTGTGTGGGATCCAGATGTTCATCCTCATGTTCGGAGACTCTTTAGTCCACAAAATATGGTTGAAGAGTTGGCAAAAACAGGCTTTCCTGTGATATTTCCAGTTCTTACTTCTAGTCTATTCAGATTCTTACACCTTGCTCAACATCTTAGTGTATGAGTGACTTCCAGCTGTGTGTTAAGCAATCGTAACAACACATCTGTCACACGTTGTTTCGTCTCTCATCACCTCTCCAGAGGGAAAAGCATGTGCAGGGAGGTTTCTTGTTTTGGTAGCGTGGGTTGGTTTCTTTTTAATTTTTTTTTCAAACATAAATGTACCTTTTGCTATTTGTTTATATTATTGATGGCAAGGTCAAAGAAATGGGCTTGTATTCAAAGCAGAAAGTGGAGATGTTTGTGATTGCCCTTAGCTCTTGGCAGGAGTTCTTGGACTGCACTCAGAGAAAGTTCTGTCTCCCACAAAGATTAGCTTTTCTCTTCTTGTTGAGAGTTCCATTATGCCAGAGGGAAGAAGTTGTCAACCACAGCTTTAGGTAGTTTTTTTAGATATCTTAGGCCCAGCCCATGGAGTGCATTGAAGATAAGGACCAAGTCCTTGAACTTGATTCAAAATTCTATGTGAAGTTGGCACAGAGAGCAGAGGACTGGGGTTGATGTATTTTCAGAAGCCTGTGGTGCTGAGGAGATTCTGTAGCATTCTGAACTAGTTGGAGTTCTGACTCCTGGAGTGCTCATGGCTTCATACCCAAGTATATTGGACTGCTGTAGTTCACCTGAGAGGTGATGAAGGTGTGAGTAACTAAGGCCAGGTCTTCATCAGCTAGGAAGGGACAGTATCTCCCAGCATCAGCAAGGAATCCAAGAGTACTCCTTTACTACAGACTGAATTGGTCAGTTGTGGATGTATATCTTCAACCAATGAAGACTGCACCATGGTTGCAAGCTCTTCAAAATACTTTCCTCTGGTGTAGTTGGAAATATTTTTGGTGGTATTTTGATACTCTCTCTCAGGAACTTGAAGTAACGTACCAATAGTTTTGGGTCGAGGTTCACAGTTTAGGTGAAGGTCTGAGTTGGTTCTTATATTGTCTGAATTTATTTGCCTATATTTGGTTTCTCATTTATTTTTAATTACGTGGAAAGGAAATTATAATTGCATCAAATGTGTTACAAAATTGTTACAAAATTGTTACAAAATCCCATGTTCAGATGAATGCAAGGCTAATATAATCAGATCCAATGTTTTATATTTGAAGTCTAATACCTATGACGAACAAGAGATGGGTTTAGGTTGCAGTGTCAGGATCAAGCCGTCTCCAAAATATGCTCTAGTTTAGGCCCTTAATCTAACAGAAAAACATGGTGTTCCCCCAAGAAAGAATTTTACCTCTTCTTCAAAAACATCAGGGGAGCAGATAATCTGGACTGTCAGACAGTAGTAAAATACTGTAGGGTATCAGAAAACACCATCACTGCATGAAAGCTTTTGGAAAGTGTGTCATGGAAATGGAAATTTTATCAAAAGCATTCACTTACACAGCTACTTCAGTGAAGAGCAAAGATATTCACCTGCAGCCCAGATTGAAATTCAGATGTATTTTTATCCTCATCATGCAATAGAATTTCCCTGTCCTTTATTTCATGGAATGAATTGTCACTGACCTATATTTCTCTTCCCATATCACAAGAAGATTCAGATGGTAATAACACAAATGTACATTCATATATAGTCTGCAGAGATATCCTGCTTGGAGCAGTTCTTCACAAATCTGAAGAATGTTCGCACATCCCATGGGGAAGGATGAGAAAATAATGTATACTGCAGTCTGCTAGTTGTAGCAGGTTTCTGCAGGGCTTGGGTAAAAATAAGTTCTCTACTAGGAAAGAGGTGTGTGATTTAAGCAAACAATGTTATGTTGAGCTTGCTGTGTTTCAGTCATGTTACTATGGCTGGCTCTAGCTT